CAGCAGCAGGTTTGGAAACTTGACCTTGGGGGGTGGGGTGGGGGGACATTTCACAGCCATCCAGTGCTTGGAATTTACAGCGTCCAGCCATTTCCAGCAAGAGCGCTCCCTATGCCCTAGACATTTCAACCTTGCGGCCTGAAAGGCTGACCGGGAAATCCATTTCGGGCGGGCGACTTCCTTCTGGAGAAGCCGCGGCAGGAGCCTGTTTGCCTGCCAGTTTTCAGGAACCCAATCTCATCTTGTGCAATGTATCCGGTTGTGGAACTGTATACTGTGCGTGTGGTGTGCTCGTGGTGAATAAGATGAAATGTATATCAGAAAAAAAATCTATCTCTAATTTAGAGTGCGGTGCATAATAATTATATCCGCAAATAAAGAAGAAACAAAGGCGTTTCTGGCCTCCTGTTCACAGATGCCCAGTGCGATGGTAAGTGGGAGGCGGGTGGTGGGGGATACTCAGCTCTGGCCAAGTAGAACGGCGAGGAAAGGAGCAATTGTAATTTGGGAAAGATGAGTTGGTTAGGATGCAAGAACCAATGGGCCCCTTGCTGCTGAGATTCGCAGGATCCGTAGAGAATGTGGTAGGCTTTCAGCTTCCAACCCTAAAGCGAGTAGGCTGCAAGTTTACTGAGCAAATGATTATTAGGGTTAGGGTTAAGTTGGATAACAGAGCAAACTTACAGAGCTTACAGTAAGGGGTGGGGAGAGCATTTCAAAGAGAAGGGAAAGACAGGCAACAAACCACCAAAAGCATAAATCCCTTGTGTGTCTGCAAACTAGGAAGAGAACGATAAAGCAGTGGGTTGTGGGTTTTCCAGGTCCCCGGGACCAGGCGCCAAACCCATTGCCTTGCAGGTACCTAATACCCAAAAGAACCCTGCTTCAAGTCCCAGACGGGGTTTACACAGCCACTGCAAAGGGGATTGGCCATTCACAACAAGCCATTGCAGCATCATTTTTAACTTGCGTAGCTTGGCAGTCTGATTGCCTGGTTTATCTAAGGAATCGAAGTGGGGACTGGCTTGGGTGTTTTTGTTTTCTAGTGCTGCCTTGAGGGGCTTCTGCCTAGGACTGTTGGGAAAGGTTAGGGATGGAGCTGGAGGCCTGGCCTGCTCTTGGGTGCCCCTTCACTGTGGGAGGAGCCATCGTCCAGGCGCAGGCTTTTAGAGTGAAGCTAATGTCTGAGCTGGGTGTCATTCTCTCTGTAGTGAGGGAAGAAGAGAAAGAGGGAGAGAGAGGAGGAGGGAAGAGGAGGAGAAGAGAGGAGAAGAGGAGGGAGACGTGTATCTATGTCTCACAAAACCCTTAGTAAATGTGTGTGGGGGGAGGGGGCTGGGTCTATGATTCACCTGTGTCAGAGGTGGCCTCAAACCAGTGTGGTTCTGCAGCCACAGAACAGGAGTAGGAGGGAGTAGGCTGTCAAGCAGCGCTAAGAAGGTCATTTAAGATGCTTGTCCCCTTCCCTGTCTCCTTACTTTATTTCCCTTTGTTACTATTGCGGTATGCTCAGGCCCCAGCACAAACCAAAGAATTCTCTTCCCCGTTCTGATGTCTCCCAAACCCAGGGAGGAGGGCACCGAGTGTCCATCTTCTTGCCTTGTGTCTGCTTCTCGATGAACCAGGAGTGTGCTCAGACCCAGAGGCCACATTGCAGCCTTCAGAAAAAGGCTGTAAAGGGGCAGTAATCCGTTTCCACTGTGCCAGCTATGTCTGTATTGTTAGAAGGACAAATGAGATTAGCAGCAGGGACAGTAGCTGCTAGCTCTTGGGTTTGCTTGCATTCCTCTAGTGGGTTTTGGCTCCACTCTTTGCCCACGTCCCCAAGAGCAAATCCTGATGGCAGCATTGGCATAGAGCCCCCTAGAGTCACAAATGGAGCTCTGCACCCTAGTGAGTGGGCCACTAATTATCAAATTAGGATTCAGGCTCCTGGGGGAAATTAGAAGCAGATGAGACCCATCTCCACATTTCCCCACCTCTCTCCAATGACTTGAACAGAGATGGACAAGGATCCCTAGCCACAGTGTACTCACCTCAGCTGTCTGTGTCCTGGGAGAGCCGACCTAGGAAAGCTCAGACTTTGAACTGAGTTGAAGATGAGGACTCTGCATCAGCATCCCCTCCCACCCAGGGCTCCCATCAGTTCTTACAGTGCATCATGACTCCATGTGTTATTAACTCTAACAAGCTGTCCCTATCTGCAGCACAGATATGATGGCGTACCAGTCTTGTGCCCTTGAGAAACCACAAAGGCCATGTCTTTCAGCCACAGAGTCTGAAAGTGACACTGCTTCATTTCACCAGTGAGTGAGCTGCTGACCCTCAAGGAGGCTTTTTTCTTTCTGGCTTGGGTAGCTGTTTTGGAGCATGCCTTGGTGTTCTTACTGCTTCTTCCACCACCCACTGGAGTTAATTACTGCCCCCCACCATTCCACAGTGGCTTTGCTCCAGTATTGTTTTTATCAAAGGTGGGCCTTTGGTGATTCATTTTGCCCAACTGTTGATGCTCTAGTATGGGATATTTTGTTATATGATGCACCCCATCCTAGAGACTGACATGCTCCTTGCTTAAAGACCTTAGAGGGATGAAGGTAGCCACACAGGTCTAAGGGGGAACCATTAAGCAGCGGAGAAGATCCAGGCCTTGCTATTGGGAGGAGGGTCAGAGACAAGGGGCTTAGTCCTTAAAATGTGTGGGATTACTGCTGGGGCAGGCTGGACATCCAAGGCTTTCTAGGAGGGACTGGATTGACACCAGGAACTAGCCTTGAGTCATCCCCCCACCAGTGTTCTTTTCTTTTTCTCTGTTGAATATTATGTAATTTCTAAAATGCAGAAAAGATGAGTGTTTTATACTCAACAATGTTACTACCCACCATCTAGATGGAAAGATGGCGATTTCACAACACTGTCTTCCACACATCTACCCATCCAACAACACACCTTTGAAAGCAATGTCATCCAAGCTTACAGACATCAGTCTGTTTTCCTCTCTGATTCTTAAGCAGGAGGACAGTGATGTAAGACAGGAGCTAGGGACAGTACTAAGTAAGCTGTCCTAGATACTGTTGTATCCACCAGACTGTTTAGAATATCAGGGTTCATTTTGTATTGCTTTTGATTTTAAAAAATTTAAAAAGGAATAAAGAGATGGCCTGGTCAATAGAGTTCTTAGTGTGTAGGCACGAGAACTTGAGTTCTGATTTCTGTCACCTACATAGAAAGCTGGGCATGGTAGCTCACTCCTGTAATCCCAGCCCTGGGAAGGCAGAGACTTGAGGATCCCTCGGGCTTGCTGGCCAGGCAGCATAGTTAAATTGGTGGTTTTCTAAAAAGATAAAATGGGTGGGGCTGGAGTGATGGCTCAGTAGTTAAGAGCTTGGGCTGTTCTTCCAGAGGACCCGAGTCCAATTCCCATCTTGCAGAGGCTCACAACCAACCACAAAAATAAATCTAAAAAAAGAATACAGGGGAAATTGATTGAGAAAGACACTTGATGTTAATGACCCCACCCCATCCCCACCCCACGACTGTTGAAAACTCAGAAGCTGTGGTGCACATCTGTAATCCTTCCACTTAGAAGGCATGGCTGAAGGTCAGCATGGCCTATAGAGCAAGACTCTACCACAAAACAAAGCAAACTGTAACACAAACAAACAAACTCAGCAGAAATATTAATGGAAATGCTTTTCATCTTGCTTCCTGCATTTTTTGACATCCTTTTCAATTTTGCACCTAAGGCAGATGTTTTACTTTGCCTCATGCTATTTATTTCCAGCCTGGGGTATAAGGTAGAGCCTGGGAAAGGGGCAAGCCTCCAGAGACCTGGCTTGGACATCTTCAAGAGTCAACAAGGGATACTACCGTGTTGCTGTGGGTACCTCTGCCCAGTGTGGGGCCCCAAAGGGGACAATAGAGCCGGGCTACTGTCCAAAGGCACCCGGGAAGATGATCAGCCAGTGCTGTAGGCCCAGCTGTATTGGATGGGGTGGAAACTGAGGATGCTATGAGGATGGCAGGTGCAGCCCCTGGTCTGGGGAGAGAAGCATGGTGGGGTTGGGGTGGGCACATACGAGAAATGGCTAGTGCTGCATAGCTCCTGCTTCAGGGGTTGCCAGGGAATTGCTTACTGACCATGGATTGCCTACTACAGTGTTATCCCTGAGGATACAGCAGTAAACCAAACAGGCATGGTTTCAGCAGCAATTGTCAATGTCACCCCTTCATCTCCTGGATGCACCTAAGTTCACCAAAAGCTGGACATCCTTAGACCTCTGCTGTCACCAAGCCACTGCCAGCACCTTCCCTGAACTCCCCTTATCTCCCGGAAGGCTTTCTAGGATACTTTGTCACACAGTTTGGAGTTGGGGAGTTATCCCCCAACACTGAGCCAATTAGTGATTCCTGTCTCTGGTCCTCTGATGGGATGGCTTGAGG